TTTCATGCACCTCCAGCCCAGGGCACCATGCATGATGATGATGATGCGTCCGAAGAGCTTCTCCTCCCTTTCTCCCTTCTCTTTTCTTGGCGCCTGGCCCCACTGAACCTCTGACGCAATACTTGTGAGATCCCCCCCCCCCCCCAAGCTGATCTGAGGTGGTTTTGAGTTTACGCAAGAGCAACATGAAAATGCTGATAGATAAGGGAAAAAACCTCCCATTTCCCATTATCCATTATCCATTATCCATTATTTCCATTATCCATTATCCATTATCCCATGGAAACCCCGCCCCGGCACTACTGGTGCAACAGATCCCATCTGCCGGAAAAACTTTGTCTTCTTCCCCCACTCTACAACTTCACCATGTGCATCAAAATCCTCCAAAATAAAGCCAATTCTTATGTTGCTACCAGAAATTGACCGGAGGTAAAGCCGAGGATCTCCGTTGGTCTTTCACAATCTCCATGGAGCTACCAGCAGTGGCGAGCGCTATTGTGACTTTTGACTCTTGACTCTCGCTCCCTCCCGCACCAGACGGAAACTCTCTTCGTCTGATCCTGCTCATCTTCTATTCAAAAATGACCCCGTCTCTGTGATAGCTTCCGGAATATTGTTCCTGACACGTCTTGCTCGACCTTCTCCATACCCTCTAAGGGTCTAGCGAGTCGACTATGTTCCGCATCCTGATGCCAAACATATGGCTGCATAACGTATCTATAACGGCCTAAGCCTTTGGCGAAATGACATGTTATCTTGTCCACACTGTCCCTTCACTTTCAACCCATTGTTCATTGCTTGACCCTGTGCAGTCTTGCCCGTACTGCCAACTCAGATCAGTCCTCATTGACCAAGGCATTGATGTTCTCACCATACCCTCAAGACATTGCAGCGAGTGACTCTATACAACTGATTGTTTGATAAACATCCTGTCCCGCCGGATCAACTCCATCCTCTCCTCAAAGTAGTGAACGTCCAGGCTTGACGTGGAAACCCCTTGGACCCTATCTTAAACAGACCCAGGATCAATGGCAATACCAAATCCTCGGCGACTGACGCATACGCCTCTAGGCACCATGTCCTTGCCTCAGTTGGATTTGAGCCTATCGTTGTTCTCGAACCCATCCTGTCATCAGCCAACGTTCTTTGATTCCATGAACCTGTCTTATGGTTTGGGTTTTGACACTAGTGGGTGCAGGAGTGAAGCGTTTGGCACAAATGCGTCTCCACAGGAAATCTTTGGCCACCAAGATCTTGCTTACATGGAGAATGGACTTCACGGTGTAGAAGCGCAACCAATGTCACTTGGCAGAGACACTCCAAACAGCCCACCGATCAAGATCGAGAGCGTGTCTCAAATGCTGGATGATGACGATCGTTACCGTGAGCAGGTGCGAGGAGGACAGCTTCCGGTCTCTCAAAAGGAGAAGGACATTGGCACGGATGTCGATACTCTCATGCGAGCTATACAGACGAAGGCAACATTGCCAGTGCATAAAATACAACCACCAAGGGTCTATGATCACAACATTCGAGATTCCAGTAACGATTCGGTCTCGTCCGCTGTGAACCGCGGCATTCCGAACGAATCCAAGTCGAAAAGAAGGTACCCCTGCAGGATTTCATCGTGTGCTAAAGTCTTTACCCAAAAGACCCATCTTGAGATCCATATGCGAGCACATACTGGGCACAAGCCATATGTAAGGCCATCGAGAGTGACTTGAAATCTTGGCATACTAACAAGGAGTCTGAACTAGATCTGCAAAGAAACGACGTGTAGACAACGCTTTTCGCAACTAGGCAACCTCAAGGTCTTTCGCTATGCCAACGTCATTGCTGGGGCATGAGCTGATTTATCGCAGACTCATGAACGCCGTCACACTGGGGAGCGCCCGTACTCTTGTGATCTCTGCGGCAGAAGATTTGCCCAGCGTGGCAATGTCCAGGCGCATAGGATAGTGCATGAAAGAGTCAAGCCCTACAGCTGTAGGCTTGAAGGCTGCGCGAAGAGGTTTACGCAGTTGGGAAATCTGAAGGTATGCCCCACCAGCCACATGGATCATGCTTCATGACTAACGGGTGAATAGTCTCATCAGAACAAATTTCATGCCGACACGCTACGCATCCTTACGTTAAGGTTTGCATCGATTGATATGGAAGACGAAGTCTCCGAGTCGGATAGAGAGCTGTGGGACTACTTCTCTACCCTCTACAAGAACAGTAACAAGGGTATCAAGGGCCGTGGTAAGGACCGTCGGATCAAACCTCTATCTGGTGACAGCAAAGGCTTGAAGGTTGAAAGAGTGAAGCGCAATGGAGAACGATGAGAGGTATGGAGGCAAGATTGTAAGGATGAACGCGATACGAGGAGCGCATGAGAGAGGCTGCAACGGCCAGGGGAGCAATCGTGTGACAGAAGGAAGGGAGTGATAGCACTTGCGACGCGGGCATGCATTCGATGGTGGGCACTCAACCGGGTAAGGGCTCTCTCATGCGAGGAAGGATAACGATCTGAAGCGGGTAGCAGGCCTTTTGGGTTTTGATTCATTGAGAATAATCAAGTGCGGTTGCAAGCAAAATGATGTGGTTCGGAACAAGGGTACTTGTTATGTATACACGAGCTTGCTCTCGGACAATTTGCTCTTGGATGTATATACGCTGTGCAAAGAAAGAATGACAATTTTGTTTGTACTGTAGGAAGATAGATTTTGATATATGAATTGGCCATCAAGTACTTACTACAGATTCCGGTGGAGGAAGAAGAGAGGATCAATCAGTAAAAAGGGTCAGACAGGTGACCGGGAATTCAACTATCCGATGAACAACAGCATCTCAGCTTGCATTGCGCTGATTGGACGATTTGCTGACAAAGCGGAAGACCCTGAATGCGAGCCCTCGAAGCATTTTTGGTTGAAAATAATAAAAATGTCAAAGTAGGAGTGAGTACCTGAGGACTTCGGTAGTCTTTCAATCATTGTGACTGTTCTCTTTTTTCTTCTCTTTCTCCTCTTTCTCTCCTCATCATTATCATCCATCCATCAATCAATCAATCCTTCCTTTTCCCTTTTCCCTTTTTCCTTTTTCCTTTTTCCTTTTATCTTCTGATCTGCAATCATCATTTGCCCGAGCCTTTTCTTTCCAATTGGCATCCATCCTATTTGGTCACCAAAGCCTTGTGGTCTTTTCTAATCGACAATGGATATCGTCCTCGAAATCGCTGATACCTTTCTCTTTGACCGTTTCTGGTCCACCGTCTACCCAGCATCTACCTTGAATTATCCAAAATATGCCGTCCAAGATGCTACTACAACCTTCTCCAGTATGCGTGAGCTGCCCACCGCCATACATTCATCCACCCAATTCTTCCAGCTCGCCCCATCTCAATACGCATATATGAGTGAGTGGCCGCGGGACAACATATGGAGACAATTCTTTAGCCTCTACTTGATCACATGGTACCAACACCTCTCCGTCCGTGTCGAGTCATAACCTGCAAACTTTTCTGACATCTCCTCTAGGCTTTTCGGTCTCGTACTCTACCTCGTCTTTGCCTCTCTCTCATACCTCTTCATCTTCGACCACGCCACCTTCACTCATCCGAAGTACCTCAAGCATCAAGTCAAGCTTGAGATTCGCCAAACCATGATCTCACTGCCGCTAATGGCAATTTTCACCGCGCCCTTCTTCCTGCTTGAAGTCCGTGGATATGGAAAACTCTACGATGCTCCGTCAGATGCTCCATTTGCTCTCTACAACTTTCTTCAGTTCCCATTGTTCATCGCCTTCACAGATCTATGCATCTACTGGATCCACAGGGGTTTGCATCATCCCAAGATCTACAAGACGTTGCATAAACCGCATCACAAATGGATTATGCCTACACCTTACGCAAGCCACGCCTTCCACCCCATGGATGGCTTCGCGCAGAGTATACCATACCACGTCTTTCCGTTTATCTTCCCGCTCCAGAAGTTCGCATATATCGCCCTTTTCGCCTTTATCAACTTCTGGACTATCTTCATTCGTAAGCGCTTCTGTCTTTCCGTTAGGCATCGCATGTCGCTAATCGATTGTTTACAGATGACGGCGAATACGTAGCCAACTCCTACATCCTTAATGGCGCTGCATGCCACACAATGCACCACCTGTATTTCAACTACAATTATGGGCAATTCACCACGCTGTGGGACAGACTGGGTGGTAGCTATCGACAACCGAACGATGAATTGTTCAGCCGAGAGTCGAAGATGAGCAAGGCAGAATGGGAGCGGCAAACGAAGGAGATGGAAAAGCTTCAGAAAGAGGTCGAGGGAGACGATGACAGGGATTATGGGCAAGAGTCTAGGAGACTGCAGAAAAAGGTTATGTGAAAGTAATGTTGCTTTCAACGTCACCATGAATATGAAAGCAATAGCAGAAGTTGAGGAACCCTTCTTTGGACATCTGAATGGGAGAAAGTGATAGGATTGCCAAAAGAAGCCCCAATGCCGCGGCCCAATTGACAAGCTTCGGGCTGTCATGAACATCACCAAAGGTGCAACCCGGGTCTCGAGGACTCGCTCCACAAACTGGAACACCAAGGGGCGTGTGGAAATTTGGGTCTATAGGAGGTTAGAGGGTATCTAATCCGTAATAGATTCGACTCCTATTGGCGCTGGTACAATGGTGTAGTGGTTTTTGATTTTGTATAGGCATATATATGGATGGGAGTTGACGTCTGGTCTCGACTGTTCCGAAGTCAACTCCTCACTCTATCGATTCGTGAATCATGTTCAATCTATTCGTGCGGTGGCAACATTTGTACGCCTGATTTCACGTTTGGATGGAGCAGCAATCATGCGTGCCTGTTTCAACTTCCCTGTGGCAAGAAATCCTCGATGCTATACCATGTCAATGCGAGCCTACTTTCACACCCCAATTTTGGCTGCCTCCCTATGCTTGGGAACCCAGCCCAGGCAGCTTCCCGAACCAACAATAGAGTAACACCCAAGAAAGGAGCCTCACAGAATCCCAGCGAGCGCCTCGTCTTCAGGCATCTCCTCTCCAGCTCCATCGCCAACTGCCTCCCCGTTGCCGTTCTGCTCCACAGCAATCTCCAACCCAGAAGCATCGACGCCTTGCACAACAAAACTCATCGTCTCCTGCACCCATGCTTCTTCGACAGCCATCTTCCTCCTGAACACCCTTAACCACCGTCCTCCCCAACCTCTTAACATCGCCTCCCCTTTCAAACCTTGATCCGCGCTCTCAGCCATGTCATCCACGCTGCCACCAGCAACACCAACCAAGCCATCTTCGATGACAGCGAAGAGCTTTCCCATCTCGTCCCTCTCTTTGCTTAAAGTCTCATCGAGGATCGCAACCTGGTCGCCAGGAAGGCCAGGCTGATTGCGGGCGACCACGATTTGACGTACTCGGTTGGTAACTTTTGTCACCGTGCTGCTAACCATCTCGAAAACATGGCTCAGAACAAGCCCTTCCCCTTTCCCTAGCTGATCACTTAAGGCCCACAAGACTACACTGATCGGCGTTAGTATGGTATAATTTAGAAGCTTGTCCACCACATTGACGCCTATCCCTGGCTTTTCGTGCCAATAGTCCATAACAGATGTAATAATCTGCCTTCGGGCGAGTTCGCTTTTAGCTCCAATTGACAAGAGGCGGTCTTTACAGCGCTCAATCTGCGAGAGTACGTGGGACAGAGACTTGCTGCCAAGGAAGCAAATTGCCGTTACGTAGGCGTCTGTGGATGGGACGAGTGGATCTGTCACGCCAAGAGACTCTGCGGTCTCTTCAATGGTGCTGAGTGGACTTTGTAAATCCGTGTCGGGAGCTTTGGCACGGAGAAGGCGAAGGATCTCTTTGGCGGGTTCGGAGTAGGGCATTTCTTTGGAAATTAGCTTCGTGGGTTCCAAGCCAACGAGGATTGAATGCTTACGATCAGAACTGTACTTGAAATCGGGGGTGTCTTTTTCCTTGGCTTCCGATATGAGTGGTTGATATGGCTCTGGAAGGGTCCCTCTGATCCGCGCAGCGAAGCTGAGACGGATTTCCTTCTCCAGTGCTCCCATCATGAAAGCCTTTTTGGGATGTATCAATGGCAGTTGTACATCGTCGACCCTGAGCATCTATTAGCGATGAGCCCATGAAATGCGAATTACTTACCATTCAGTCCATTTCCAGGTGAAGCCAAAATTGCTCAGGTGATGGGAGAACCAGTCCATGAAACGATACACCAACTCAAGGTCCATCCCATCCACATTCTTATACAACCATCGAATGGCACGGCCCAGACTAGGTGCAATTGCCGCCGGCGCAATTTTGCAGGCCTCAGTCAGGACAGAATGATAGTAGACAAGCTTGTGCTCCGCCATAGGTAGCTGCAGGAGTTGGGAAAACACAGCGTCAACAGCGACATCCTCCGGCTTCCAAGTCGAGCGACCCTCTTCTACGTTCCGTAGCTTGTCGAACTGTGTCGCTCTTTTGACAAAAGTCTCAGCGGAGAAGTAACAATCGAGATCGATTAGAAATTTGGCAGTTGCATTGCGGTTGCAGTCGAGGATGTTGATGGTATCAACTAGGGAATCTCGGAGGATTGATGATGCTACATCAGACGTTGATGGGACTGTCTCAATGTCTTGATCCGCATAGACTGAGAAGTATATCTCGGGAAGCATTGGCCGTGGACCTGGTGCCACGGGCGATGGGATGTTGATTTCAGGCAAAGCATGCTTCTTTGATGCAACGGCTGTATCCGTTGTATCTTCTTCCTTTCTGACGTTCCAAGGACGGGGAATGCACGCCAGCTTCCAAGATTGCCCTGCCTCTCCCTGCAGTTGCTTTTGCAGCAAATTGATGATGCTTTGTGGTTCCTGAGCATCTCCTTCATCGTTCCCTGGATAAGGATTTACGAGAGCTTCTAAGGCGTGAGGCGTAGATGCAATGATATCCGTCTTATCCAACAGTGCCAACGCACGCTCTTCAAAGCCAGTTGCGGAGGAGGCCATAGCATACGGTATCGTAAGCAAGATAATCTTGACGAGTTCCAGGCCCAGGCTCTGCAGCTCTTCTGATTAGCTTCGACTGAAGCACTAGCACTACTAGCATGATACTCACATCTTCGGAAGATGCAGTCTGCAAGTCGACGGCTCTCGAAAAGAGCTCCTCCAATAATGGAAATACGCCATCCTCTTCAAGCAGACCCTGCAAGCAGGCCAAGAACCGCAAGACCAGCTTGACTTCACGCCAGTGTCCAGCCTCGAGGTATTCCTGTATTGCCTTTGCTGCCCTCGTCAATATCTCTTGCGCTACTTCTGGTTTCTGTGGATTGATGACGATAAGTATTGCAGCAACAAAAGGGATCTTGAAGGGTTGTTCGACAACACTAGGGTCAACATCAGTCATGTGCCGATGACTATGTTCGCGATATCTCACATCTGTAGTGACAAATCAAAGAACTGTCTTCGGATAGCCTCATCGTCATAGTTGTCCACGACGAGTTTCGCGATACTGCTGATCTCTTCGTCGGTTCTCTTCAGCGGCTACGATGCCATTAGCTCAAAGGGCCAGGGCTGGGCCATCGGTGACACAATGGACATACGGATTCTGCGACCCCAAGAAGCTGCTTCCGCACTTTGAGATGCAAAGGTTCCTCATATCTTCTGCGCTGCGGTCGGCGGTCGTGTTCATCATCGTCTGCATGCAAAGGTCAGCTCGAGGCAGGTTCAACGGGGTCGGGGGTTGTGCCTCGATAACGCCGCTTGCGGTTATTGTTGTAGCCCCCTCGTGGTCCACCGTTTCTCCTATCGTAGTCTGCCATGCTTGCTGGGGGAGTTTTGATGGAGCAAAGTTGTCTTGAATGGGGCTATGCTTCTAGGTTGGCGCTGGCAGACGCTCGGCGCGCCAAATCCAATTGGCCATGAGGCCTTAGTCCCTGTCGCTTCAATATAGGGCTGAGACGCTCCACTTGCATGAAATCCGGGTGAGGTGAGCCTGGCGAATTGAGATCCTACATCGTCTATCCGCTTGATGCTGTTATAAATGTCTAGAAATATCACGGAGAGGAGTGACAGATTTATGACTAAGAGTGTGTGGCGAAAGGAGGTGGAAAAAGGACGCACTGCGGCTATTCAGGAGCATTCGTAAACACCACAACTAGCGTGTAGACCTCAGATTTTTGGTGGTAATGGGATGGGACTCCACCATCCACCGTCTCTTCAGTTGCACAGCAGGAGAAATTCGAGAATATTTGGTCAATTGTTTGAATAGTTGATGGTGCTAGCAATCATGAAACTTATGTAGGTGCGTCATCTAAGGTGTGATCATCTTAGAAAGTGCCCATGCAGCCTTCACCAAACCCTAGCTTCTTCCTGCGCCTGGCCTCATTCCCAGCTGATCATTCACCACATGAAAAATTCCGCCTATCGCACAAATTGGAACCCTCATCCATGCATGCCGCGCTTTTGCCAGGGAATTGTGAATTGATAAAATATTCGAGGCATTGCCGTTTTGAATTAAGCCATGCCATGCTTTTGGTCCACACAATCTGTCAGTGATCTTGCTATCACTGACCTGGCGAGAACATACGGGAACGACTGTTTGGCCAACGCCACGCTAGGTAAGTGCTGACACGCTGATACCGTGACTTCGTTACGCATGATTCGTAGCCAGTATCTATCTCACTCAAGCTGAGCCTTCATATCGTCCTGAGACATTGGATCGAGGGTTTCAAGGTCAATGCCGCGTGAGAGAAGCTCCTTACGCGCGTGGGTCGGGACGAGACGCGCGTTTTGCTCCGGAGCAATTGAGAGCTCTGAGTACGAGTCAGCGAGGAAAACAATATCGACATGGCAAGCAAGACCTACCGTGACGCGAGAAGTCGAACAGTTTTGGCATCTCTTTAGTACCACCAGCGGCATGCCGAGAGTCGGGGAATCGACAATCCGAAGCACGAAGCTCGTCGAAGAATGGGTGAACCATGGCCTCGATGGCCGAGAGACGCTTAGTAGGGGTATACTCGAGAAGAGCCGAGATCAACTCAATCGCATCTGGGGTCGCTTTGCGGAATACCTAGACACAGAATTAGTATCTGGGCTTTCGTTCGAAAAGGAAAAACTCATTAGGTTAGTACGTAAAAGAAAATTCCAGGTTCACTGACTTTGTTGAATGGGTGAGGCTTAATCTGAGGGAACTTGTGTTCCATATAGTTTGGATTCATGGTGCGGATCTGCTCGCGGGTTGGAGTCCCCAGCACCTTAATGATCTCAACAAGCTGATCAATGCCAGACTCTCCGGGGAACAGAGGTTGACCAAGCATCAACTCAGCCATCACGCAGCCGGTGGACCAGACATCTATCAAACAAGCGTGAGCGAGCGATACTGCCACTGACAGAGTGGAAGATTACCGATTTTGGTGGTGTAGTTGGTAGCACCAAAGATGAGCTCAGGGGCACGGTAGTAGCGAGAGCAGATGTATGAGACGTTGGGCTCATTTGCGACCAGGATTTTGGCGCTACCGAAATCACAGAGCTTGAGTACGCCGGTATTCGGATCAAGCAGAAGATTCTGCGGTTTGATATCCCGATGACAGATGCCCTGGGAGTGGATATACGCAAGGGAGCGGAAAAGCTGGTAGATGTATATCTTGATCTCGAGAATGGGCATGGTAGTCTTCATCTTGTTGAAAAAACGTGAGGCACGGTATACAGTCTCCGGCACGAATTCAAGGACAAGGTTGAGGTAGACTTCTTCTTTCTGAGGCGGGCGTCAGCTACTTTCTTCATGGTACCATGAGCAATTCCTCGATTCAATAAAATACTTTCTTGCTTACACGCTCTCCATTCGAGTAGTAGAACGCTTTTAGTTCTACGATGTTGGGGTGACGGACGATACGCATGATCTGCAATTCACGATTCTGCTTCCATCAGTACTTCGAACGTAATGTTATGGCATATTTTCCACGCTTGCCTTAAAGCGCTTGTCCTGAAGAACACGCTTGATAGCTGCATCCTCTCCGTTTGGAGCCAGCTTGGTCTGGAAAACCACTCCAAAAGAGCCGTTTCCCACGATCTTGCACTGGGTGTACTGCATTTCTCTGGTCTCGCCAGTCACACCGTCTTGCACTTTCTCACGGATGACTTCTACATTGTATCAACCATCAGTCTCTGCCAGAGTGTAGAAGTAAGCATGGCTCATCCCTACCTCCCATGCGCAAGCTGGTGAAACCTGCTGGACGGTTTTGCGTAGACATCTTAGCAGGGCAAGATGGCGCTGTTTCTCTCTGGTTATCGAGAGTACGGTGGACTCGAAGTATCGAGCCGATGATGGAGCAACGGAAGGGTTGTAGATGAGTCCGTGTTGGGCGGACCTGAGGAGGTGGAGGGTGGAGGGTGGAGGGTGGAGGGTGGAGGTACTGTAGGTAGGAAGAAGGAGAATGAGGAGAGTGAGGTGAGGCGACTGAAATTACACAGGATATCAATCACACCAATTTGGTGCTTTGGGTCAACGCGCAAGGATACCCTCGATGGCGTTTTGTGTGGGTAGCGAGGATGCCTCTTCTCCGTCGCTAGAATGTGGTAAGGTGGCTGCGCAACAAACGGTGCTCTATCTGCAATTGCTCAAGGTGAGGGGACCATGTCGCAGAATGAGGAGTGGATTATCTCTGTTGAAGTTGATGCAATCTCAGGCTTCACTTTTTAGGACAAGATTGCCTTGGTGTTGTGAACGAGTGTTGTAGAGAGCGAAGCAAAAGCCGAGTGTCGCCTGACACATGAGTTGAATAGAGTTCCCTTTCCCGCGGCTGTTTGTTCCGTTGTCGCTACAAGGAGGATTGCATAGGAGAGGGGAGGAGGTAGATAATGAAGCTGGCTATGTTCAAGAAGGGAAGGATATTGCGGTGTTAATGTTAGGATTGATGATTGAGATCTCGCTCGGAGGCTTAGCCGTCCCAGCGCGGGAACCGTGCGATTATTTCCCAGAAAGCTGGTAACTAACTAAGCGATCTCTACAAGAGTGCGAGAACAAGAGGGGAAGGCTACGCGGACAGGAGCGGCAGTCACAGCGAAGCAGGTCGCCTTATTTCGATTGATTGATTGATTGGTTGATTGACTGACTGATGGATTTTGATTGATTGATTAATGGTTCTAATGGACCGAAGCTGTGGCTCAAACCCTGGGGGAAAGTGTTCGTTTTTCCTCAGGGGGAAAGAGGATGATAGTGGGCAATTCTTGCGGAAAGGGGACTGCTTACTTCTACGGAGTACTGCTCTCAGGCTCAGGGGAAGTCCCAGAGCAATGTCCAATAATGATATGGGCAGTGAAGAAGGTTTGAGGGGAAGTGAGCGTTCTCGGTTGGGTGGTCACATGGACATACTTGGACTCGATGTTACTTGGCCACCATTGGACTAGAGGCATTCTAGCTGGCGCAGGAACAGGCGAGGGCAACGTGGGACTGATCTACTAGAACGAGGACAGACCTATCTATCTACCTTACCTACCTTACATTCGACTGCCTTCAAGGGAGAAGGATGGAAGCTACGAAAGGCATGATCGAGTTAGATCGTTTGGATACTTTGGATAGCCTACTTATGCGCCCAAGGTACGGCAATCGACCCAGCCTTTGCGACCTTTGATTGTTTTGAACAATGTCCCATATTTCGAACGTCATGGGGATGAGGACTCTAGAGTCTGTGAAGGAAGGAATGAGGATTCCTCGGATGCCTTAATATCTAAGCGTACGGAGCATAGGTAGAGTGCTGCAGAAGGTCCAATGATCGTTTGGCTACCGGACGACGGAGAGAAGGGAGGTGGGAGAGAGAGAGAGAGAGAGGGAGAGATACTTTCTATATGTCATGCATCCGCCGCCCGAGGGCCCTGTCCAAGTGTACAAAGTTAAAAGCAGCCGTACAGCTTTGCCTCTACCGTACGCCGGCCGTGGACCAGATGGGTACTTATTTCTGAAACAAAGCATCTGGAAAAGTCAGAGTGAAAAATAATGCCTGGTTTTGCTGAAGTGGGCAGACCATCCGACATTATTGACGTGTTCGCCTGCAGATTGATCGCCATCTTGCATGATGGAGTGACGCATGATTGCCCACTGGATTATGCAAGCCTAACTCATCTTGGTCCAATCGTACCCACGTTAAAAGGCCGAAGAATCGTTGGGTCCACGCCTGGCTTGGCATCGAGCAGTATAGTACTGTAAAAGATCCTTACTCTTGGACCTATGTAATATGTAGATATCCTTCTGCCTGCTTTAGCATCCATTATTGACCTCTAGCATGAGGCAATGGCAAAATTTCCATGCTGGACGATGCAGGCGTTGAAGAAGCTACAATTTTGCAAGCAGCACATGACGATGGGAACCATGGTAAGCACAGGCGCCCAGAGAAGTGAAAAGTGTGGAATCAAAAGGCAGGTACCATCCAATTGGCTATTCTGAAGCACCGGCACCACCGGTATCCACCTCCTCCTCCGCACCCGCAGCGAGCGGCAAAAGATCTACCGCTCACGAGACCTCTCCATATTTTATTTTCTCGCCGTACAACACTCTGACCTCGGAAATCGAAACGTTCTTTAGCTTGTGATTGGAGTACTCGAGTAGAACATTCATAAGCATGGATGGAGCGAGGGAGTAACTAAGTACTAGTACCTTTTCAAAAATCATGTGCACAGTGTCAACGGGCAATGTCCCCCAAAACAAATTCTTTGGTAAATATATACGGACGAATCCATTTGGGTGAGGATTGCTTTCACGACATTCATTTGTACGGGAGAGAGTATTAGGAATTCAACTGCGTCTAATGACCATCTGCTGCATTCT